GAAGCCATATTCAGGGAGAGGTCATTTAAATTTGCTCGTTTCATCAATCTAATTTTTTTTGACGTAACCGGAGTTTTCTGTCTTTTAATGGGCTTGATTAGAAGACATTGGTGGTCGGAGCGTCCGATTGGGGGGAGATGGCTAACAGTGTCAAAGAGAGGGAGCATATTTGTAAGGATTTGATCAAGAATGTTGTGTCCTCTAGTCCAGAACCCAGGAGACAAAGAGTTTGTTCGAATATTAATTTGAGATCGTCAAGCTTGAGGTTATTATCCTGCTCGAGTTGATCATGCAACGTGCATAATGGGTCGGTAGCGTTAAGCATGGCACGTTGCGATCTCTTTAATTGTCGCATTCTTGTATACATTTTTTGTCTTGAATTGCGACATGTTGAAGCATGTGAGGGTCAAGAGTTGGAGCTACAATTAGAGCATCAATTGAAGGAACAGCGTGTTCCTCTAGTATGTCGCATACTTGATCAAATGTTAATTTTCGGCTGAAATATTTTTCCAGAAAATTTGTAAATTCATCCGACGGGGACCACGAAGTGGTCGCAACCTCAGGGTCGTATAGCTTCGAAGAAATATTACGAATTGCATCGTGTTGGGAAGTCTTTGCTTGAACATTAAGTGTCGACGTTGAAGGCTAACAAGCCGAATTTGATCGCTTAATGGCCGGGTTTGGTGGCTGAGTAGCCGGATTTGGTGGCTGAATAGTCGGATTTGAGGGCTGAATAGCCGAAACAGGTGGCTGCAAAGCCAAATCGTCTTGTTGATCCCAATTTGAGCGGTCGAAATCGTTTCCCGCCAAAACCGATATCGTATCGCTTTCCCGTTCGAGAGTTTCAAGATCTTGGTCTTCTTGGAGAGATCCCGAATCGCCGTTAGACGTGTAGTTGTTTTCTAAGTTGGCTATTGTCGTAGTACACGAGCTTATGTCGGATTTTAGATCCTTTAACGTACTCAAAATAGTACTCAACGTTTCCTTGTTGTCGTCACTATAGCGAGAAGACATCTGCTTTTTTGACTGCAACCTTTGATGAGAAGATTCTCGCCGAACGAGATCGTTTACGATGGCTCAGTCAACATAACTTGTAAAATATATAGAGGTATCTGAAGGTCCTCTAAAAAATAAATAAATTGCCTAAAGAACGACAAAAAAGCGACCAAAAACCTTCTATATTAAAACTTACCTGTTGGTGAGCGAAGCACAAGGTAAAAAAGCCACTGGAGGATTATGGGATGGCGCCTTTCAGGGGATATAACATCTGTATTTTTGTTTACTTTGGGGGTGACCCCTAGTGTTAAAAGGTGATCCGAAACACAAATAGGTAAGCTATACCACTTGTATTCTCATATATTTCGAAAATCTGAGAATCTATCGGCTGGTCACGTGACCCGTCATATTTTGGCGGATTTGCTCAATTGTTTTAGGGAAAGTATAGTAAGTAGATATTGTAGTAAACATTAATATTGTTAAAATAACATTACAAAACAAAACATCTCAGTTACTATACTTTCCGGCCTAAAAACAAATTAGCAAATCCGCCAAAATATGGCGGGTCACGTGACCAGCCGATACCATGGTCTCAATTCAAGCGAGGTAGGAGCGAAGATTGAGAACCTGGGTACAAGGTTGAGGTCCCTAGCCCATTATACTACTGTAATTATTTTTTACTACTTGTATATATTTTGTGGGCAAAAAAAAATAATAATAATAAAATTAATAATAATATTTCGATTGGAGTCTCTGGACTGGAGTTCATGAAATATAATCGCCTTTTGAACAACCTGCCCCAGTTCTTTTTTCCAAATCTTTTCTTTTTTCTTTCACAAGAATCTTAATTAAGATGTTTCAAAACCTTTCGTTTTTTCAATATTTCTTCTTCTATACTGTGAAAGTTGTTTCCTTTCGTGTTTCCACATTTCGTGTCACGTATTTCCATTGCACGACATCATGACGTTGAATATGACTTTTTAATATTCAACGTTATTTTGTGACTCCGTTGACTGATAATGTTTTCATATTCAACGCTATAACGTCACTCCGGTGTGAATATTATGTTAAAATTCCGTATTTAGTCCGCTATTGCGTAGATATCCCTTACAAAAATAAACTATAGTTTTCCACCAAAATCTATTGTTTTTTAAAAAAAACTATAGTTTTTGGTGAAAATTTAAACTATAGTTTTATGAAAACTATAGTTCTTTACCAATACACTATAGTTTTATGAAAACTATAGTTTTTACCAACACACTAGTACTATAGTTCTATGAAAACTATAGTTCTGTACCAGTAAACTATAGTTTTCATAACTAAAGGACAATCAATCAATCAATCAATCAATCAATCAATCAATCAATCAATCAAAAACTTTATTATTGTGTCAAATAAATTCTAGTTTACAAAGAAACTAATTGGGGACACCTACCTATATTAACTACTATTAACTATATAAACAGAATAAATATATTATAACAAATATCTATAATTAGTGTCGATTAATTGTTGCATAAATAGCAATTAGTACAACTATTGGAAATTAAGTCGGCTATATCCATTTGCCGTGTGTGTCTTTTAAACGTATCTAAGGATATAGCCGTTTTTATGGACTTATGGATCTTTGACCAAATGAACGGACCCATATACCTCAAGCTGTGTTTCCCATACGTAACCGTGTTAAATCTAGGTATGGAGAAATCACTTACATTAGATTTTTGAAAACTATAGTTCTTTAAAATTACACTATAGTTTCTATAACTATAAAGCAGTGGCGAAGTCAGCCCGTCAACTTGGTCATGCTATAGTGCAAATTTTAAATAATTATCATATATTCATTTCTTTAGAAATTTATTGTTTTCATGGAAATAT